TTTTCAGATTCCTACAAATCAGGACAAAAATACCAATCTTTCACAATAAATACGGTTCATTGGGGTTATATTAAGCCAACTGATAACAAAATTCGACCAAATTCGTCGTTTTTGTGTGGAAAAATCCTATGCATACGAACACCTGGTTAATGGGTAGACGTTTGTTTGTAACCAATGACACGATATGGCCATCTGACGCATGTGCAGGTGATGACTCCTCCGCTTTAAATACGCTAATATAACTGACTCGGTAACTTAATAACCACAGATGTGTTTACGACGTAGTATGATTTATATCTGTCTCTTTATATGAACACCTAACAAAGACTCTGTTCTGTTTCATACTCTGTGTTTGTCTTTGTCTGTGTGCGTATACCTGTGATTGCCCGTCGAATGCACTGCAATTGTATTGCATAATTTATTTCCAAACGTAACGATCAAATCTCGCAACCATCAAAGGTACATATTGATAGATTTACCCCGGGGAAAGCGGAAGAGAAAGGTACTCCCTCAACTGTCAAATCGGTTAGGGTGTGGCGCAATAGGAACTGGAACCTCACCCATTTGTTGTTTTTTCATGCTAATAGTTTTGAAATGATCAACTTGAGCAATTGTTTTTTCATTCGGGATCTGAAAAAGACATATGGCGTACATTTTGTTTTTGCTTCCATACTTTTATCTCGCATATATGGCCAATTTCTCCGCGCTTTTTATAATAAATCTTCAATTTTATAAATATTTGGATATTTTTGAAAAACTGAGATGAAGGTCCACGAGCCTTAAATCAAATTATTACGTCATCGGTGATGTTTTTTGAGAAAAAATATGTTACCCATTTCCTTCAACAGAAACAGTTCCAGTCTGGTTATCTATTCTTGTTCTAGATTCTGTAATGAAATTAAAAAAAATATACTATCTGAGGTTCTTAATCAAGAAATAACTTCATGTTGGCCCCTTACCTACTAGCAAGATGGGATGCGATATTTTCTACCTTTTAAAAATTGTGTTATAAATTCTTTGTTAATTGTGGATTAAATGGTCAATATAGAAAAAATATGGTAAAAAAATATACTGTTTATTTTGTGAAAGGTAAAAAAAGTTGACCTTGGCGAGACTTTGAAGAAACACCCGTGTCTTATCTGATATACGCTTTATAGTACTCGGTTAAAAGTGAAATGTATCGACTACTGAGAATACACGATGTCATCAAAGAGCGCGTAAAATAGGTGTGGCTGTATTTACAGAGGATTGATGTCAACTTATTGTGTATGCAAGACCTTTCCTTACAAAACGTCTTTGTATTGCCACCGTGACAGTAACCTATTCAAATAAACGGTACGTAGAGAGGGCACGTATTAGCAATAAAATCCAGCCTAGTACAGGTCTACTAAGACAAGTACACAGCCACGTTGTATACTAGATCGTTGTCCCAAAGAGTGGAGGGCTGGGCGGTGATTGCGTTAGAATCCTAACTGCACAAAAAAGGGACAAGTGGTAATGTATTCAATAGTATTAAAAAATACATGATGTGAAAAAAAAATTCAATTTTAGTGTGCACGAAATGTATATTCGATCCAATCTAAAATGGTATCGCTGTGTCAGTCTTCATTCGTCAATGGATAGACCATTACAAACTCTGTAGGGTAAATGGCAGAAAAACTGTGGAATATATTTTCCTTCACTTAATTTTGTGTTTTTGCTGTTTCCATGATGAATAGGCAGTGATTTGTTTACATGAATATTTTTTTATGTTATGGATCCCTGCAGCCTGAGTTTTTTCAAGGATTAATTCCTGTGCATTTTTTCCATTTTTGCCCCCTTTTTTTACCCCTCCAAAATTTATAATGGTCATCCCATAAGTGGATTCCAATGTAAACATATACCATGATAAAGTTTGTCGCAATGTGCACCATCTTGAAATTAAATACAAGAACTCTTCATACTGGCTGCTACATTTCTAATACCCAACACTCAGGCCAATCAAAGACACCTTGCCGTCAACCAGATTCTAATAAGTTCAGACATCAAACCGAACTTCCCACAGTGTCAGTAATTGGCTTTGACCTGCATGACTCCCGTAATAAACTATAATGCAGGCAACAGATGTACTCTATAGTTAATAAAAGAAAAATTAATGATCGCACGATATGACAAATTGTAACGATTTACGGAGCATTATGACAAACCAGCTGATGTTGACGACGACACAGGCGCTTTCTCTACTTGTTTTTTTGTATCGCCTTATTGCACTAGAAACACCCCGCCAATCCGAAAGCACCATTACAAGAGCACTTACACGCTATATTGCCCAGTTTCCACAACGAGGAACAAGCCAAGTTTGTTTTCTCATAAATTACTAGTATACTATGAACAAACTACGAAACTCTGAATTCGTGCGACTGGCATTCTTTGTAATAAACAGTGGCTTACAATACAGCCTATGAAAGCAGAAGGCCGTGCTTTCGTTCTAAAACAAGTGTTAATTGGTCTTTTGCTTTTATGACCTCATGAATATGCAAATCTCATTTATTCTAATACGAAATGGGTAGTTTTGTATTGTGACCTGCAACTGGTCTAGCACAACGGGTTTATAAGTCATCATAAAAAGTAATACAAAGACATGTATGTGAATGGTCAATTCAATATAAAGAATTTTTCTTCTATTGTGGAAACTGAAAAGTTTCCTAATAAAAAAGGATGATGGTTTAATGTTGTTCATCAGTTTCGCATAACTCAGTTTTAAGTTGTAATACGCATTCTCAGTCAGTGGGATTCGCTGAGGTCAGCAAAACTATGATGCGAGGTGCACAATGGTAGGACCAGATATGGTGAATTTTGAACGATTCCTCATATATACACAAGTAATATTGTACCAGTGGAGATGGGGGGGGGGCGCAGAAGGGCAGACAGTGCACTCGAAAAAAATGTAGGGGGCGTCGCCCCTCCAAAATCAAGCTGAAACCCTTTGTGTCAGCAAAATTTGCCCCTCAAAATGCAGGGAATAGCATTTCAGAATGTCTGGATTTCGAAATTGTTAAGGGGGGCATGCCCCCGGACTACCTAGTAAGGTCACGCCTTCGACGCAAGGTTAGTGAGCAGATCTCTCCCCCCATGCGCACAATTTCGTGCCACTGACTCTGCTGAACTAATTGACTTGCCTCTTGCAAAACAAAGACTGTGCTTTTATCACTTTTGGTAGTTTAGTCTGGTGATGTGGATAACTTTTTAAGCATTTTAAAATAGTTTTGTTGGATACTGCCCTTAAATTTTATTTATAAAAAATAACTGTACATAGAGGCAAATCAAAGATATACGTGCATTACAGAAATTCTCGAACAAAAACTGCTGTTTGTTGTCAAAAATAGGTTTTATATTCTGAAATATCACACTGTTTTGAAATTACTTACTCGATGTCCGTTCGTCTGTCAACAATTTACATTTATATCTCAGTATCTACCTTGGCTGGTTCTCTCATATATTTGTTAATTTAATGTCAAAATTTTCAATGTTGTAATATTTGGTAAAAACTGGTCTCCGAAACCGCCACTCAGACTGATGGTTTCAGATATCTTGATTGTTTCCTCTCAGATTTTTTCAGTTTGTGATAATATATTCTATTCTCAAATTTCAGCGAATGTTTTTGTCAGTTTTGGTCATTTTGCGATGACATCTATTTTCTATTTTTAGCGATTGTTTGGCAATTTTTGAAACATAATATGTTCAACTTCCTCTTAAAAACTACTCAACTACATTGATACTTAGTATGTTGATAACAATTACAATTGCCATGACAACGTACAATCGTATAATCTGCATTAGTTGTGATATGTCAAAAATAATAACCATGTCAAATAGCCAATATTTCATCGTACCGAACATTATCAACTTCAACTTTATTTTCAGGGAAAACAATCTACAAAGACAACGGAATAATGTCGATCGGGTTGATTGCTTTTTACAACTTATTCTCCACTTGCTTGAAATGAGAAGTGGTGATAGCCCTAACCCTGAATATTTTTTATTGTTCCCAATACTAACGAACTTCAACATCACGCGCCATGCTAGTTTTAAAAACTATGATATACTAGTATAAATAATCTCACGAAATTGAAACTCGTACATTTATAATTGCGGAATACAGAGTGAAATTTAGTTTAGAATTTTTATTCTAATTTTGTAGCTCCCAAATTTATCATTGGTTATTTCAGACGAACAAATACAAAAACGACAAGTAATTTAAATTTAAAGTAATATAGGGCTTGACGTCAACTTTTAAACCTACTTTTCGAAATGTATGTAGAGTTTCTTACAGTCTATACATATTAAACAGATAATTTGATTACTGATTACAGGCTATGTATCATTTATCATAACGACGGTTTGCTAAGATGACGTGCCTCTATTTAAAGCGGGGGAGTCGTCACCTGCGCATGCACCAGATGGCCATAGCGTGTCATCGTTTACAAACAAGCGTCTACCCATGAGCCTTTGCGTTTTAGCGTGTGTTGTTAAGGTCGCTTGGGACTCAATTCCCGCGCGTGCGCAGGTGACGACCCTGCCGCTTTTAAAAAAGTCCAAGACGGGGAGTTAAGAAGAGCCGTACTGGTGAAACAACGATTACGTCATACCCCATAAATACATTAAATATATGCAAGGGTATATAAATCAGAACATAAACTAATATATGTACCGTGACTGTCTGTTATTATTCCTGCTTAGGGCACGAGATAAAAAAAAATCGAGCTCATGCAATCGGGTCATTCAATATGATTGAGAGGGTCACTCTAAATATACGGGTCAACTGAAGTTGACAACACAATTTGGAAGATGTTCGATGCAGTGTTGTGGAAAGATGGCATGAAGTTGGTTACATGCCCAAGACAGTAAGTGTGTAATTGTAAGTGGTAGATTGAGAATTGTTTTCAACGTGTTAAGTTAAAACAAAGTATATAGTGTTCCTTACACTTTTCTTCATAAGTTGCGTCTTTGATTGTGTGTAGTTGTTTGTCATTTTCGGATATAGTAAATCTTATTATTTGTTTTTGTCAACTAAAATGAGCTCACAAATTGTTGTGATCAAGCAACTGAAGTTGGTTGTCTCCAGAGAACGAGACTCATGTGGGAATAGGTAGTTTCTTGAAGTAACAAATGATTTGCATTAATGTAGTTTCTAAATACTCACGATTATTTAATTAAGTAAAACAATACAAACAAATAGAAAACAACGATATACTATAATTCCTAATAAATAAATAAATAAATAAATAAATAAATTTAGAATGCCTGGAGACAAGGTCGCAAGAATTAAACATATATCTGTCGCCAGAGGGCGCAAGACTACCACTCAACTTGAAGTGTGCCAAAATAGAAGGTTGAAATATGTCTTCCAAAAGCGTTCACCTTTGAAGAGCTAAAGTGCAACTATAATTAATAATTAACTATAATTAATTTCGCTCTGAATTAATTCAACTTTGCTTCTTTTTTTTTTAGATTGCAACATTCCCAGCGCACCAAATTTCGGAGTGAAACCTGTCAGATATCCCGTAAATGATACTGTCGCAGAGAACGTGGTGGTAACATTCAGTTGTCTAGACAGTAACCACACATTGGAAGCCGGTCCTTCTAATATAACATGTCAAAGTGATGGTAACTGGGCAGGAGTGCCGAATCAGCCAGCTTGTTTAGGTATGACTGTTTTTAATGATTTATGTCTACAGTGTCACGTGACAGTTTGGCCAAGTGCGAAATCAAATCCGTCATCTTCATTATATAATTCGTTGTTGATCACGTGATTACTAAAATATCTCCCCCAATATCCCTCACGATTAACACAACATCCTGACGTATTTGTGACTTGCTTTTTTCACGAGTCGTGCCCATGGCGAAAAATCCCGGTTCATACTCGCAGCTGTCACGGTACTAAACATTTTCGCTTTAGGTAATGACAATGATAAAAATATAAATTCTATCACGCGCCATCACTGCTACTTATTTTGCTTATTGTGACAGAAAAATGCGACAACCCCGGTCAACCAGGGAATGGCAGGCAGGACACGTCCCCGGCTCCGAACTACCACGCATTCACGTCAGTAACGTTCAGTTGTGATGATGGCTATAGTCCCGTTGGATCGGCGTCAATATCGTGCGTTCTTAAAAACTATGATCCCGGTGAAAGTGCAGTTCAGTGGAGTGGCGACATCCCACAATGCAAAGGTATGTTGAATAGTGCACTTCCCAGCGACGAAGCGATTTCTGTGGCGCAAACATGAAGGAATGTTTTTCTAGACAACAATCGCGTTGGGTTGTGATTTCTTTCAAATTTAGCCGATCTCTCAAAATATTATTTTAAGTTGACGGACAACTACAGATCAAAACAATATAAATTTCGTGAACCTACTTCCTTTCGCTCATTGATATCACAGAGGTGCTTCGTCACTAGAGGGCGCATTATATTATCCGTCTGCATCCAGCACATAATAATTTAGCACACCGTCACTGACCGTACTCGATACTAAACACCTTGTCTGATTTAGTTAATTTCATTAAGTGTGATCACCCATGTTTCTTTGAGATTTGAATGATATGCAGACGTCCAAGACAATACCCAGGCTCAACTTAATTCCAACTATAGCATACCTATACTGATATATAAAGCATATATATAAGGATGGGGTTGATGAACTGTATCATGAATTATTTAGTAATATTAGTAATTTAGAAGGATCAAATGATCAGTATCTATTGCTAGGGGATTTTAACGGTAGAATTGGGAATATTTCAGGTGATAAAACTGTAAATAATAATGGTAAAAAATTAATTTCATTAATAAATAATTTTGACCTTTCATTGCTTAACAATAGTGATATTAGCATTGGTAAATGGACGTGGTTTCGCCATACACAACAATCGGTCATAGATTATATGTTAACAAATAACAGCTTTAAGTATAATGTAACAGAGCTGTTTGTAGATGAGGATAGAATATTTGATATCGGTAGTGACCACAATATTATGTATGCCACTCTAAACATTCCAACTTTAAAACGAGACCACAAAATAAATAAAACACAAAAATGGGATATAAACAAAAACACTGATTGGAATGAATTTCAAAATGTTTTAACCACCAAGTTATCATCCTTTGATGATACCGTGCGTTTGGCAACTAATACAACAAATAAACAATCAGCATGTGATGAAGTTTGGAACCAGTGGTTAAATAATACAATTGAAACATGTCGTGAGGTTATAGGCAAAACAATTACATCAAGTACCGGTAGTGCTAAACCATGGTTTGATCAAGAAATTAAAAGTGCAATAAATGAAAGGAAAAATCAAATAAAAAA